GTTTTCCCAAACATCATTGCCCATGGTTCCATTGCCAAGTCAAAAGATCCCATGTTGACGAAATGTACTGTTAGATTCAATTTGACAAACACTGTGAACGATGGACAGGGTTTGCCACTGCAGTGAGTTAAGCACTGGGTTGTTCATTGCAAAGTCAATGGTTCAAACTCACCAACCACACTGCAGGAGAAAGATGAGGCTGTTTCCTTGAAGGTTTAGTCTTGGACACCTTAGGGTGCAGTTAGACTCTGTTCTATAGAGTCACTAAGACTCGGAGTGGACTCGACGGCAGTGGGTTTTGTGAGCCATGGAAGGAACTCAGCTGGCGTAGTGAGTGAAGGGTTGGGCTGCTGACCAAAGAAAGGGTTGGGGATTTGAAGCCCTAGCCCCTCTGCAAGAGGAAGATGAGGTAGTCTGCTTCTGGAGGATGTACAGCCTCGGAAGCCCTGTGGGGCAGTTCTAGTCTGTCTTCAAGGGTTACTATGAGTCAGAATAGACTTCCTGTCTGTGGGTGCATGTGCTATGAAGGCAGAGAAAAGTGGTTAATTATGACTAACCCCAAACCAAACTCTGTGTAGAGTCAGTTCTGACACTGGGTGTTGTTCTTTGTTTGTTTGTTTAAAACAGGGGAGGCATCATTCAATAGTGGAGACTGGGATTGAGTTCAAGGGATACATTGTATTTTACTGGGCAGGGAGGGAAAGAACGTTCTGAGTAGAGAATTTATATCAGGATGCCCTTGAACCGTAACCACATAAGAAGGTCACTCTGTTTGGCCAGTTCATCCCCATCGAACGAGAGTGTCTGCGTTACTCCCTGGTCCACACTGACTCCTCCTCATCCTAATCTCTCTGGCTTCAATGCCCAGGCACTCTGTGCCCTAGGTTTCATACTATCGATGCCCAAATACTGTGAGATGAATGAACAAATACATGAATGGGTGGATCGAATCCTTAGGTTTAGCCAGCAAATCACGAAGCAATAAACACGCCCAAAACTCTCAGCAGAAGTTATATCACAGGTCTGATCGAATATCAGCTGCCTACGGGATGTCATTAGGACACCCACACCCTGTGTGCTCATCAGAACAGTGCCTGGGATGCAAAGGAAAGCCTCCCAGATGCCTCTGTTTCTAGAAGGTTCAAAGTACCAGCCAAGGGAAGACTGCTTACCTGCCAGAAGCATTCAGGGGAAGACCACTGAATTTGTTGTAGCCTTGAGGACCATAGTCCCATAGGATTTTTTCAGCAGCAATAAAGTAGCGCCTCTGTTGGCCCTTCATCTTGGGATGGGAGCTAACACGTTCGCAAGTGCCAACATTGTATTGCCCCAGCATTCCGGCTGCCAAACACAGGAAAACCACAAGCCAAGACGTAAATGTTCACTAAAGGAAGACAGCGTATAAGAGAAGACTGATAGATTTGAGTTCATGAGCGTGTAAAACTTTTGTACAGAAAACAGCCATCCGCAAATTAAAATGAAGGATAAGTGGAAAGGCGGGCGAGGGAGAAGGATTTGTAGCATGTAACAAAGATCTGCATCTGTAAATCGGTGTCACAACCAAGGGAGGAAAGCGGTCAATCTCCCAATAGAAAATGTTTCTTTAAATAGAAACATTTAAAGAATGGGTTATTCACCCATAAAAGAGATGAGACTAGATGATCGATCAACATTTACCCAAAAGCAGCAATGAGAAGGCAGCAAGGTGGGGAAGGGAAGCGGGCTCAAGGGATACAGAACAGAATGGGACCCATGAGAATGGGGACGCATCGTGGGAATGCTTCTCAAGGTCACCGCCA